AACATCTTTTCGTTCAGTACATTTCAAACATTTTCAGTAACACATTAAGTATTGCTATTTATTGATTCTAAAAGTTGGTTATATAATTGTACTATAAATTGTACAATCAATACTCCATCTTGTTTTGCAATAATTTAAATTTAATACAAACTATTTACGATCTTTTTTGTTTTCGTAACTGATGGACATTTAAAATAAAATTTTGTCATTAAATCTAAAAGATTCTATTAATATTTCAATTATTTTCTATCGTTTACAATATGAAAAAAGTTTCATATATAATTTTACATCAACAAATACTTACACCATCATCTTGAGACTATGAGTAGGCACCAATAGGAATGCATAATTTTCATATTATTCCGGAAATAACTTTACCATTTTTTTTTATAATATATATTCTTTACTTCGGCAATGCAATTAAATTGAATAAAATATTATTATTAATAACGCATTGATTCATCTTTTGTGTAGTAAATATTCTTTTGTAGAACTACATATTGAATTATTAACAATGAAAAAAAAGAAAGAAAATTGACTAAAGTATCAAAAAAATATTCAGAATCACATTTACTCTGTATCATTTGTGATAATTAATAATTATATTACGAATTACTTGCTTCAGTTCATAGTTATTATAAATGTTTTTTTTCTAGATTTAATAAATGAACTCATGAATACTATACAACTTATACCTTTTGCTGAATACAAAAAAAAAATAAAGAACGCAAATGAAACAAAGAATTAAAATGAAGAGCATAAAAAAAAACACCTCAAAATATTGCTGGTAGGTTATTTAGTATACTTACATATAGAGCATTTTTATTTTTTCTACGATACATAAGTTAGATCTTATATAATGATACACTATATAAGAAAAGGATATGACATCTTGTCTTGCACATGGGTATGGTTCTTAATAACGTAGTTTCTTTTAAATATAATGACTGTTAGGATAATCTCTATGGAATTAAAATGTGAAACACGATTGATCTATGAATATTATAAATTAAAGATATTATACAATAATTTGAAACTTGCAATATACTGAAATGTTTGTAATGAAAGATGTTATTTGTTTTGTATAAAGAATATATTGTACTAATTTTATTATTTGAATTCGTTTTTTTTTTTACTAAATCTGTCATAGTCTGTAGGCTATCTATGAGAACGGAATGATCGCAAATTTCTTCCTCTATACTTCAACATCCCTTTCAGATTGTACTCAAGAAAAATTTATTTACATATTAAAAGGTTGATTATCTCGCATGTCATGTTTTATTATATACTCTTAATGGTTTTTTTTTCTTTCAAGTATTATTAATAAGACAACATCAAAATCTGCCTATAACCTTCATATTTAATTTATTTTTTTTAGCCAACGGCAAATTTACGCTAAAGTGATGATGAGTTTATACTAGACATGTCGCTTTATTAATATGAGATCAAATCTTATTCGAAAAAATTATTAGCGGAATCTTTGATGAATTAAAACATGAAACATAATGTAGCTGCTATTGCTAATCACACGGAAATTATTTTGATGACACATTTTTTCATCATCTTTCTTCAGATATGCAATAAGAAAATAAATTCATACGTATATACGATCTTTGACCGTACGTCAACATTTCATTCTAAGTTGTGTTTTACAAACAAAAATTATTAGAAAACAATATGAACCAAAGCTACTTATTGTCACTCAATTATATATAAAAATGTTCACGGAATGTATGACTACATTACATATTATCTTTTTTTTTTCTTTTAATTTCAAAAAGATTATCTTTTGGAATGTTCTATTTTACTCTGTGCGTGTTTATCTAACATCTATGAATTTTCCTTTCCTATGACATATGTTCGTACTTTTTCTGTTGCTATTTATGTCGTCTGTTGATTTGTCCTCTAAGCTCTTTTTTCTTCTTCTTCTATTTTATATGTTATTGTTATTGAATAAAATCCTAATTTATTTTTTACAAAAAAAAAAAACATATCTAAACATGAAAATTACTACTCTAAATAAGAAAATCTTTTCTTAAATCTTATTCATTGATTAATTAATTCAATATTATATTTTTATAAATGTTATATTACTAAGTTATTAAGAGTGAATAACATGAGAATAGAAACTAAGATTAAATGAATCTAGACAAAAACAATTTGACAATCTATATAAAACAAGATTATTCCTATCAATTTTACTGATTGTACTGTATAGTCGTTTTGATTATAAAAACAAAACTGTCAAAAGATATAGAATTTGATCTTTTGTAAAATGAAGATTTCTTCAGATAAAATAAGATTGGATCGACATTATTAGCTGTTATTAAAACATAATAACTTCCTTGTCATGAAATGAAGACAAAAAAAAAGCAAATTTATTTTTTGTTTTTTTTATTGTACATTAATTCTATTTTACAAACATTTCGAATAGATTCTTTATGGATTTTAATCGATCTTCATTTCTTTATAAAAAAAAAAAAAAAAGCGCAATAAAGTAATTACCTAAAGTCACGCTACAAGGTAAAGAATAAATGATTTTGAATATTATTGCATGTTATTTTTATTATAAACAAAGCTCGATAAACCTTGATTTCAAGCATACATCCGATGTTGATCAGCCATAATGTATTCAATTTAGAATAAAAACATTGTTTATTTTTTTATAAAGGACTTTTTTATTTGGTATTTTTCTGATTTGACATTATTTTCAAGGGTTAATATCCATCTTGTTATTGATAAATAAACCTTCATATATCTATATTGTGTCACAGATAGAAGGTTTCAATCTATTGTCAATATGAGACATGACGATATTTCCATTGTTTGATGCGGTCTGTGCATAGAGAATATCCAAAGATAATCTTATAAATCAGACAAACTCCAATCGTTTGATATATGGAGCTTTTTATTGATGATATAAACAATATTGAATTCTCTCATAAGAGAATAAACATAGTGAGATTTCTTGTTAATAGTGAAATATTCTCGTCTGAATAAAAACAAAAAGTCTATGTTGATTTTTTACCCTTTCGCATGAAAACCGACCCAAGTGCATTGTATGCTATATGTAGCTGAAATATGAAATCAAAAGATTTATATTTCAATACTTTTTATCTGATAGCAAAGTTTTTGACGACTACTAAATATATGAATACACAGTCTAATACAAAACAAAAGGTTAATCTTATGTTCTCAATCTATTCATCATTATAATTATTTATTAGTATTACAGCTGATATTCGCATAATGATAACTACAGAACAATGTTTATCTAAAATATATCAAGATTATTTTTCTTTTTGTAGTTGATACAACATTTTAACTGCTTTTTATTAAAATTATACGCGATATACTTCAAAATTTGATCATGCATTTATGAAAATAATAGAATTCATCATTTTTCTAATTAATGTAAGTAATCGAGCGTTCACTTACTATAAGTAATTATGAAAATGTATTATTATATAGAAAAAAAAAATTTGATGATTGTTTATATTATATATTAATAAATTTAAAAATAAAAATTTTCGAATTTTGAGACAGATAAAAGAATTAAATTAATTATTCTCTCATTCTATTTTGTGATCAAACTTCTTTTTTTTTTACCTAACATTTTTTTTTCCGACTATAACTAAATGAGATTAAAAATATTCTACAATATTAATTTTTACTTTTACAAATTAACAGATTAAACATTTAGTAAATATTTTGTATTTACTAAAATAAATAATTTAAGTATAATCATCAGGTATAAAATAGATTAGACATGATAAATGAAAAAATACCATTGAAATTCATACATTGTTGACAGTTAATCAACAAAAAAAGATTAAGTTTTGTTAATTCTATAAATACATGTCTATATGCTCATTGTTACGAGGTATTCTTCATATTATTATTTCCTGTAATTTTTGCATGTCATTATGTTCATATCGCGTGATTAAGCATACATTATACTCAAATACCTTTCTCCTGAGTTTATATATAAGTACCAGAATTTTATGAAACAATGATAAAAAATATTATAACTCATATTTTAACATTGACTTTGTGAACTAAACGAAGACTATTGAACATATCAACAAATTCTCAAGACTCTATTTTCAAACACAATATGTGAAATAGAATACATACAAGTAATATCTTATTATATTTATTTGTATTATAAGTCATTAGAGCTTACCAAAAATTCCTAACCAGTCTCATTTAGATCTATTTCAACTTGAAATTGATTCTTCAAAGATTATTCAATATTAATATATATATATAAACATTATATGCTCATATTCGATATCAATTAATAATAGATTTTGGATACAACTTCAGCTCGACAACACCATGGCATTCACACTCCTTTATGTGTCTTGCCAATTAGACCAACTAGTGTCGAGGATGTTGCTAATCTTTAAAAGTCCTAACTTTCGGATTACTAGTTTTACATAATACTTATTTCTTTTTGTGTTCAGACAATTTTCATTGGCGATAATTTTTTCCAATCACACCTGTCTTGACACGCACGTACGTACCTACAGAAGCAACAAAAAAAAAATGCGTTGTTCTTGTCATGTTTCGTCGGAAATATTTGCAGAATAAGAAAAAAAAAATCAGAATATAACAGAAAAAAGAGAGAAAAAAAAAGAAACTAAACAAAAAACGCTCAGCGTTATGCGTACTTGGTAAGTAAGCAGATCACTAACTGTTACACGTTCCTTCAGTCAATTTAGATATAATTCTAAAAATCTGACATTGTTTTTATTGAAATAAGACATATTATTCTTCATAATTATTCTTATTTCTTTTTGTGTTTTCTTCGTTTAGTAATAGATTATGTTCTAGATAAAATTCTCCATACAAAAAAGCACTAATTGTTTTCTATATTATATTTATCAGATGCGTCTGATGTCAATATGACCTTAACGAAAAAGTGACATCTTTGTTAAATGTAATTTCTTTTTTTGTGAATAAGCAAAAACTTCATTAATTAAAGAAGATTAACAATGAATTTCAAACGACCTTTATCTCTTTCACCAATTCATCATCGATTCAATAAAACTCACATAGAATTCAATAAAAACAAGTGCTGCCAAGTATGTGGCGACAAAGCAAATATTTTTAATTATGGAGCTTTATCATGTGCATCGTGTAAAACATTTTTTCGCCGTCATGGTTTTCATCCTGAAGTTTGTAGATCATACTAAATATTTTTTATTTTCTTTTTGTTTGTGTTCAGGATATTCCTCAATGTGATTTTTATGGAAATTGTGAAATTACAATACAATCAAGAAGAATGTGTACAGCATGTCGATTTTCTAAATGTCTTGCAATTGGAATGAGTCCAGATCTTATTCGCAAAGAAGACTTTACTGGAAAAAGTCGTTCATTAATAAAACCCAAACAACAGTACTTGTGTTTATCAAAATTAGGCACAGTATGTCCATTGAACAAAACGAGTTCTAATTTGAAGGAAGAAAAAAAAAATCTAACGTTACTATTTCACAATTTAAAATGTGTTTTTTTACGAATAAATTAATGTGTACAATGATTAACAATTTAACGAGAAAGAATAATTGATAATAAAAAAAAAAATGAAGAGTAATAGATAAGAACAATTTGATTATTGGAGATGTAAATATAAATAGAATAAAGAGTTTTCTATGATGATTAAAAATTGTTGTAAAAGAATTACAATAAATTATCTATTGATGTTCAGAGATTGATTTTTTATTAGATAATGATAACGAAGAAATTAATAAACAATCTGCTAGAAAAAAAAAGTTAGTGTACTCTCTCAATACATTTTATAAATATGATACATAATAAAAATTCCTTTACAATTAACAATAAACCTTTAACAACATCTCTTTTTTTATGGATTCTTTAATATAAAATATCAATATTTTTTACGATGAGCTTTCTAATATTATCATTATAGAATTTTCAAATATTTTTCTACCTTTATTAACCCTTTCAGAACGAGTGGTACACCGTATGTACTACAGTTATTTATTTTTAACAGTAGGGTATATTATACATTGACGACTAAAAATGATTGCGTATGCTTACACTGGCGCTATACATCAGCTATGAGTATATTCGAATGCATACGCAATCATTTTTAGTCATCAATGTATAATATACTTCATTATTAAGAACAAATGACTGTAATATATACGATGTACCACTCGTCCTGAAAGGATTAATATAATTATATCTTGAAGAAATTGATTTTATTTTAACTTTAGTCTAACACTATATTCTCTACAATGAATCTTCTTTCTCGTGATATTTCTTCTCTTAGTCCAGACAATTGGATATTACTTTCAAATCTTGTCCATGCATTTGATTCATTTGCTCCTTCATATGAAGTAAAACGTATGATTAAATTTCTTACTACAACATCAGTAGATATACAATATAAATTACAACAATCATTAAATATTGTCAGTATGATTTGTCAATCAATTCAATCATCTATTAATTCAACAGCTGATTTTCGAATAATGACAACTGAAGAACAATGTTCTCTTGTTCAACGTAATACGCTTGGTATTTGGGCATTTTATTCTATGGTTATATTATATCATTGTGATATGTTTGATAATATATCAAGTAAAAGTATTATGAATCCATTATATAAACTTGATGATGTTGAATATACAAGATCACTTACAATGCGACTTGATCCTGATCCAACACTTGTTAAACTTATAATTATGGTTTTAAGTTTTTCATCAAATTGTTTTACTATACATGCAGATCAAAATATGCAACGAGATAGTCTATTAATGGGTACATTTCGTTTACTTGGAAGTCAAAATGCATATGTTGAAATCATGTGGAAATATATGTTATATCGATATGGATATTTTGAATCTGCAAAACGTTTTTGTGAACTTATTAAAATTATGCTTGATGAAATAAATATGGCATCAAATATTTATGATAATAATAAAATTCATCAGAATTTAGCAAATCAAATTATTGAAGGAACGAAACGTTCATTAACATTTGATGGTAGTGAAAACATTCCACTATGGGGTAAAAATGAAATTTGACATAGAATGACATTAATATTTCATATGCGACTTATTTTGTCTATAATAAAATAAATTATTTTAGTATAACTCTTTAAATCAATTTTTCTCAATTGAAATCGAAAAACAAAATATTTGTTGAAATAAATGATTGTGAAAGATATATCATTCGGTTTTTTTTTGTTTCTAGATTATTAATAGAACTATATAGAATAATTAATAATTACAATATGAGATGATTATTATAAACTTGATGTAAAATTTTACAATGAAAATTATGCTTACAACATATTGTTGACGTAATGAATTTTCAAATACTTCTCGAATATATTATTGGAAAATGAAATCTTGTTTATATGTCTATAAAAATAATATCAATTCTTAATACAAATAAATATCCTTACATTCTATATGAATTGAGAACATTCCTTCAATCAACAGATTACTGAAAGTTGTTTTTCTTGCTCTGTTATTATACATATTGTTCATTTGAAAAGAAAGAAATTTGTTTTGCGAATAAGAAGATGAGCTAAACGATTATTTCCCTAATGAAGGTACTCATGGGGTTTGAGTACTCATCAGTAGTACTCGTGCTAGGATTTGTGTACATGAGTACGACTGCCAAGTACTCGCCGTGGAAAATTGAGTCTTTTACGAATACTCACTCATCTATAATTGGTTCATCATTATTATTTTATATTTTCTTTTTATTTTATTTAACAGTCAACGATGTGACACAAGCAAATATTATGAAATTTCGAGAAATGAAAACTTTCAACTATATTTTTCTCTTTTTAATATATCATAACAAAGACATTTTCTCTATAGAAGAAAATAAACAGTACAGGAAAATAAATATTGAAGACACTATAATATCAGTACAGATAGATAACTGGTAAAATATTAAGACATGCAATAATAGGAAACGAAAATTTTTAAAGTGATTACGACAAAGAAAAAAACAATTCCATGAAACTTTTAATTTTATCTAGTAACACGTATAAGAACAATAGAAAAAATCTAAAATTTAAGAATCGAAATAGAATGAATTATCGTTCAGATAAATCTAATTGCATATTCTAGTTTACTTAGAAAATGAATAAGTCACTCTTTGTATTTTAAGTAGCTCTTCATTGAAGTGGTTGCGATGACTCATTAGTGAAAAGTGTAAGACGAAATTAAACTAGGTTTCAAAAATACTTGTCAACGTTGGTTGAAATTTTAAAATCAAAAAGAGAAACAAGCAAAGAAGAGAGTGTAGAATTAAGATATTAATATGTGTACTAGAAATAGTAAGGCGATCTTTTTTTTACACAAGTGACACTGTGTGAATCATGACTGAATTTCTTCGGTGACATATTTTATTTGGAGATATATGTCAGTGGTACATGCTTTTGAAATTGGTTATGTTATATTCTACTTTTCTACTAAGGACATTTCACGATTTAATACATATGTCTATCGTTTCCTTCTCTAGGTTAATATTAGACGTATAGAAAGGTTATTATGGAAAGAAAACAGAGTTGAAGGTCAAAAAAACATTTCTTTTTGGTTTTTTTTCTATTCTGTCTATTATATACAAAGAAATATGTATATTTATTCATCATGTTTATAATCAAATATTTTCTAAGATATATAGATTATTAGATGTAGGTATGACAGATATTCTTAGGTAATGTTGATCTTTATTGTTTCTATGAAAATAAAAAAAAACAAGTATTTAACAGGTACATTAATAAACTTAGGTCGATTATTTGTCCTTTGATCTTTGCAATTATCATACATGTTTTATAAATATTTATTCTGAAGAACGCATAAGAGACTTAAATACATAAACTTTGAACTGTAATAATAAAAAAGGAAGAAACAAAACGTGAGTTGTAACAGTTATAATTCTATTGATTAATGCAAAATTGACTAATAAATTACAGAAATATTTATTCTATTCGATATGAAAAGGATAAAATTACATAGTTTTTTGACGTACAGCATTTACTTATTTTCTTGATAGTAATCAAAACTAAAGATTTTTATAGAATATCTTATAGCTATAAATTATTTTATATTTCATTCTTAATATAGATTTTTTAGTTTTTATTATTCGATTGATTCATATTAGTTCAATTTTTCAATAATTCTAAAATGACTCTTTAAACAACTATAATCTATTTTACCAATTCATTAACGAATTAATAAAATTCAAACAAAATTTGATAATAACTATTTCTGTCAAATTTTTAATTATGAATCTTTATCATGTTCATCTTGTAAAATATTTTTTCGTTGTTATAATTTTCATTCTGAAATTGCAGATCATATCAACAATAAATTGTTGTATCGACATCAATCACAGTGTGTATAAATTGTCTAAATCAAATCTCGATATTTAAAACCATTCTTACGAACATTATGCATAAGTCATATACAGTGGGTCCCAAAATTATTCAACCAGGTGTAATTTGGATTTTTTTTCGTAGCTTTAAGTGCTAGAAAGAATCCAAATAGTGATTTGAATATTGCCAACAAGAATTCGCGAAAATGATAACCCTCATGAATTTTCCTAACAAAAGATTTCTAGAAAACCACAACTCTGATTTTTCAACATCAAGAAGCCTTGTTTTAACAGTCTGGAATTATAGAGCAGCCAATTCTCTACAAAATGAGATGTCTCCGAGCTTTCTACGACCTTCATTTCAAAAGTTCCAAGCGTCACAAAAATTGAAAAAAAGTGAAATTTATGAGAAAAGCGACTAAAAACCGCATTTGTTCGATTTTTGTGACGCTTAGAACTTTTGAAGGGAAGATCATAGAAAGCTCGGAGACGTCTCATTTTGTAGAGAATTGGCTGCTCTATAATTCCAGACTGTTAAAACAAGGCTTCTTGCTGCTGAAAAATCAGAGTTTTGGTTTTCTAGAAATCTTATTTTGTTATCATTTTCTCGAATTCTTGTTGGCAATTTTCAAATCACTATTTGGATTCTTTCTAGCACTTAAGGCTACGAAAGAAAATCCAAATTACACCTGGTCGAATAATTTTGAGACCCACTGTATATATACATATATATTCTTGGAGAAGAAATTTTGTTGCATATTCCTATGACAAAAAAAAAACTCGATTTTGACTTTTTTTTTTCGAAAAAATAGATTTTCTGAAGGCGGAGGTTTTGTAAAGAAAATGATTTTTATTATTTGTTCGATTCGATTATTCTCAAAAAAAAAAAAAACATTCTCAATGTAAACAATTTACTTATGTTGACAAAATCTCTTCGAAAGGAAATTTGAAAAAACATCCTTTATGTAGAGTCCGTTGCGTTGATTAGTCTCTAGGACTCAAATGTAGTCATGTCCGTTTTTGAGATGAATCCAACGGATCATACTCTAAAAGTAATAGACACTTATGACTTGATTACTATAAGATCATTGTCAAGATTGTCTGAAAAATGTGTAGGATGCGTTCATAGCAGCATACAAATAATCAATAAAAAGTATTTCGTACTTTTGAAGTGATTATTAGATTTAGACTGAAAAAGTTCGTTCAAATTAGAAGTGCGGTTCAAGATCTGAAGAAGTTTAATCAATCAGATTTTGGTACGAACTCGAGTCTAAAATATATTTAATAAATCGAGTTTGGGTTTAAATGAGTTCTATCTCTATGTAATGTTGTAAAATTGATTGCAGTATATCGATGTTCTATAGACTATATAATACAATATTTCACATCTGACTGGTTGAAGAAATTAAAAGTTAATTGAGTTTTATCTTTAAACTTTACATACCAGAACCATTTATTTCGATCGCATAACAGAATCCTTAGTTCGATTTTTGAACTTTTTTTTATGCTGATTTAAAATTTGATATTTATTTGAAGTGAAATGAGTATTATTCCGTACAACTATCAATTGAAAAAATTCAAAATTGGACTAAAGATTTTATTATTAGGATCCGTTTATTTTAGATCGTACAAAGTAATTCATTTTGTAGCATTTGAAAAGTTCTAAATATGAACAAAGTTTCATTAAAGCAAGAATTAAACGATAAAATGGAATGTATACGAACGCTTTTTAAACTCAAAATATAAGTAATGAAAGATTTATATACGATGTAGAAAATTCAAAATTTGCGAGTATGGATACATCTTCATTTACAATGGCACATCCTGACAAAATTTTTTGAATAAATCTCTTCTATAACATATAGAATTTTTTAAATTTATTTCCATCATGAACTTCAATTAGATTGATCCTTAAAAATCAAAAAAGGAATCGCAATACATTCTTATGCAGTTTAATCCTTTAATTACAATGCGACTTGATCCTGATTCAATACTTATTAAACTTATATTTATGGTTTTTAGTTTTTTTTTATCAAATTGTTTTGCTGTAAATGAAGATCACAATATGAAATGAAATAATCTACTAATGGATACTTTTTCGTTTATTTGAAAGTCAATAATAGGATGTCCGAAAAGTCACTAGAGTTAGAAAAAATTGAATATCTTCACTACAGCTCGAACAAACGAGCTGATTCTTTTATCAATAATAAACGTATGTTCAAGCTTTCTATTCATAGAGAGACTCTTTGTTAAGTCTATTGTTTATTTCCTACCAGTAAAAAAGTACAATGTTTTTTGTTAAGATCATTGATGGTATTTAACAAAGACTCTTGTTAATCTTGTCCGTGTGGATTTGAAGTATGAACATGTCTCTATTATTGGTAAAAAGATCAGCCTGTTTGCTTAAGCTGTAGTGGAAATATTCAATTTTTTCTAACTCTAGTGACTTTCCGGACACTCTATATGTTATTGAACGTTTTTGTGAACTTATTAAAATGAAATAAATCTTGCATCAACTATTTCTGACAATAATAAAATTCATCAGAATTTAACAAATTAAATTGCTCAAGAAACAGAACGATCATTAACTATTGATGATAGTAAAATGGAGTAAAAGTGAAATTTGACATTTTCGGTGTGAAATCACGTAAGTAAAGTTAGCACTAGATTCGAGTTTTTGCTGTCCGGATTCGTCCCTGGGCTTGAGTTGATTTTGGTTCAACTCGAGTTATATGCAGAATTTTACGACGAATCTGATGGTGTAAAGATCAAGGGGGATCATAGAGCAAAAATCAATACTTGACCCCAAAATACTGATTTCTTCAAAAATTTCCTGAAAGTTTTTCTTGTCCTGATTCGCTATGTTGCTTGAGTTGGGTCTAAAATTGGTTGAGTTAGACTCAGCTCGAAATTCTGCATCGAATGATATCAATTTTATATGAGGTTATCGGTCAAAAAATTTTTCGACTAGATGAGGGTGAGGATGACCTCTGAGGAGTGGGATTGAGTGAAGTGGAAATTTTTTCGCCGATGACCCCATATAAAATTGATATTATTCGATGCAGAATTTCGAGCTGAGTCTAACTCAACCAATTTTAGACCCAAATCAAGTGACATAGCGAATCCGGACAGGAAAAACTTTCAGGAAATTTTTGAAGAAACCAGTATTTTGGGGTCAAGTGTTGATTTTTGCTCGATGACATCCCTTGATCTTTACACCATCAGATTCGCCGTAAAATTCTGCATATAACTCAAGTTGAACCAAAATCAACTCAAGTCCAGGAGCAAATCCGGACAGTAAAAACTCGAATCTGGTGCTAACTTTACTTACGTTCTGAAATCAAACAAAACATATTCTTCATAAGAAATATCAAGGATTTGTATATATTTTAAATGATAAATCAATTAAAATATCTAAATTAATTGTAAGAATCTAACAACAAATGTAATGTAATCATCATTTCGAATCATTTTTGTTTTTTTCACTATGATTAAATGAACTATTCGATCAAGAAATAAGACTTATGATGTTTCTCTTACTATATTAATAAACAGATGTTAAGATTCTCTTTCTTTTTTTTTTCTTTTTCTTACGTATATCGTCTTTAATATCACTGAACTTAATCATATATTTGTGTATATAAGACGTTCAAGTGCAAAATAACAATGAGAATAATCAATCATATGGACTTTTTTCCTCAAGCTTAAAATGACATCATTCAATAACCGTTTGACATTTAGGTAAATTTCGAGTTCAAGTCAATTGAATATAGGAACCATACGGTCTAATTATCATCCAGACGGAAATACTTGACTATTAACATTCGATTGATGTTCTTTTTTCTTCAAATGAACAACTCTTTTTTTTTTTTACATCCGATATGAATAGAGCGAACTATAAGTATACTCATATACGAGTAATCTTATTATCTATCGAGTACTACCTGCTTAAGCTGACAATGATTATTGATGGAGTCGATCGACTATATACTCGCGCAATCTGTAATTGAATAGCCCATCCGTCTGTCATTTATCATATTGTTCAATAAAGAGAGACATTGATCAATTTCTTTTTCTCTTTTTTCTTGATATTCTTCATTTCGTCATCAAAATATGTACGAATTACTATGGTTTATGCTTGTTATTATGGTTCATAGTTCTTTATCTCGATTAGAACTACAATTATCTAATATTGATGATGAAGATCTTTGTAAGTATTAAGAAGATTTGTTTATTTTAATTTAATAATGATTTATATTAATATTATTATTATGATTTATTTTTTTTAATTAAATAATTAATATTAGAAATTAATCCTAGATTTTTATTTGAAATTGAAAAAAATTTTTCTTCTTCATTTATTTGTAAATGTCTATGTAAATGTTTTTTACATAAAGCAATTTGTGATTGATTAGGCGAAACAATATGATAATTAAGACGAAGTAGACGATGTCGTATACATAAATGAGAACAAATAGGTGCAGGTATTCGAGGTAAATCATGTTGAAAAAATATCGATTCAGATTTTAAATGAACATTATCATTTGAATCAAAAATATAATTAAATAATTCTTTCGACATAGTTTTTTTCTCAATACAAAAACAAAAAGAAAATACAATATTGCTATAGAAGTATCCCGCTGTTTATTTATTGTCATCGAAAAAATCAGACACGGTAATTTTCAGGTTTTAGAAGACATTCTTGGAGCCATTGTAAAGAACATAAAATGAGATTTAGTCGATTTTTTTTATGATGCTTTTAGGAAAGGTCGTAGAAAATGCAACGACCCTTCGTTTTGTTCAGAATTTTATGCTCTTTAAAATGGCTCTACTAGAGCATGAAGACTATTGCGTTTGGTAGAGTCTGTCGAATCTTACTTTGATATTCGCAATGAAATTTTCTAATCGAATTTTGATAGTCATTCCGAAAATACGAGATATTTTTTTTGTATTCAGTGACTAGAGCTCATCGAGTTCAAAATTTTCGATAGAGTCTATTATAGAAATTTTTAAAAAAGTCTATCGGGTAAAATGCTTATAACTTTTGAACGAAGATATCTAGAGTCTTGCGGTTTTCATGATTCAAAAGGGGACGCCTTTTTCTCCAATATTGTATAGGATGAAATCAGTCATTTCTACAAAACATGAAAACGATCTGTCATTCCGAGGAAATTTTGATTCTGACATCTGATTTAAATAGAGAAATCTCAGATGTATAGTTCAAGATATAATTCAAATGATTATCTTTCCACCTTCTAATGTTGAACAAATAAACTTATCTATTCAATTGCACGAAAACTATAGAGTTCTTTTAATTTTTAAACATATTTTCTTATTTTTCATCGGAATGACAGATCGTTTTCATGTTTTGTAGAAATGATTGATTTCATCCTATACAATATTGGAGAAAAAGGCGTCCTCTTTCGAATGATGAAAACCGCAGGACTCTATCTGTCTTCATTCAAAAGTTATAAGCATTTTCCTCGATAGCCTTTTTTAAAATTCCGATAATAGTTTCCAGTTTTTCGAAACCTTGTAATCATAGTTCATGTATCAAAATCTTTCAATCCCATTACTATATACACTTAAGAGAAAAATACATTGTTGTTTAAATTTTTCTCATCGTTTTACAAATAATCATAATAAATCAAAGAAAAAATGAGAGTTCATTATGAATTAAATTTTTTTCGATTGAAAGAGATTTTTATATTTATTATGCTAAATAATAATTACAATAAGAAATTAATTATCTTATTAAATCAAAAATAGTAGATTGAAAATTTCAATTTTTCAACAGTCTTTTTTTTTGTCAATAATAAATTCTCAGAACAAATAAGCACGTTCATTTTATCTGATTCTATTCACAATTATATTATGAACGTGTTTTATACTATACAGTAAATGATCAAGTACTCATTTTTCAGATTGTTATTAACTTTATATATACGTCATGATAAAATACTTTCGTAATATTGTACCTATCAAATGTCAATTGACGATGGTAAACTGTATGAAACAAACAGTATAAATTACTGTTTTTTAGTTGTCTCGATGATTGTAATCATCATCTTGGGTTATTTGAATTTCAATATAGAATTTTATATTTTATAATGAAATGATATTTTCATAAATATTTATGACAAGAAGTTTTTTTTTTTTTTTCTAAAGAATTTATTAGACGAGACGAAATTTATATTCTCTCATAACTGTCATTTATTCAAATAATAATTTAAAATCAATTTTCAAAAGCTATAATTCAGTTTATTCTTTTTTTTCTTATATAAATCTCGTCTGATGTAGCGGCAGATGTTCTTTCTTTTTTTTTGTGATTATCATTTGATGTTAACATTTGGTTACATCAGATTCGAACAGCTTGAAAGAATTCGTCTGGAAAATGCCACATACAATGTTTATTTCCGTCTTAAGTCTAAACGTCGGTCAACTTCACTACCTGCTTATGATTAAAAAGAAGAAAGAGAGAGAGAGAGAAAAAAAACGATCATTACTATTCAAGCGTATATAATATGTTCACTTGGCCTTGGTCATCATTACTTGTATTTCCAAATGAATGATCAAACAAAAATAATTCATTCATTCATGCTTTTCATATGTTCATTCAAAACTGCCACACCCGATATGTCATCGTCATTCAATTAACTGACCGCTGTTGAAGATCGTAATCATCTTTTTAGGATCAGTAATCACGAAATAAGACATAATTAGCAGTGAACGTTAGTTTTTTTTTTTTTTTTTTTTGCGTTTCTTTTTATTTGAAAGATGTATATAAACGTTGAATGTTTTGGAATATATATATATAGAAGAACGAAAGGGCAAAAAGGAAAGAGAGAAAAAGAAAAAGAGAGTGAACAAGAGAAGAAAGAAGAAAATGATTGTCCATTTTTACTTGACACCTTGTCCGAAGCAGAAGAACAGAAGAAAATTATGTTCCTTCTATATATCCTTATACATTTAGCTGGTTCTCTTGTGGCTTTTGATACAACAACAGAATATTATACAGTACCTGTTAGTGGTAAATGTGTTTTAACTTGTTATGTGGCTGAAGTTCGGTCATTTAAAGTAAGTTATTCATTTTTTTCTTTTTTTTTTTTCTATCATTAAAATAACATTCACATTATTTCTGTCATCACTTTTCTTTCTATGTGTATGTCTATTGCAATATGATCTGTTGACCAGACGTAATTGTACTGTTTGTTGGTTCAACAAACTTTTTTGTTGTGTATATGTTGATAACCAACATTTGTGATGTGTATGTTATCATAGTCGCATCCATCCAAGATGAGCTAATTAGATTGATATCACTCCCACCCTCTTTCTCTTTTCCAATCAATGATAAGAATCTAACTATTCTATATATATGTCTGGTTTGATGTGGTAATACAAAGATAAACATTGAAGATACCAGGCATAAATTAACTTATATGAATTCATTCTGTATGTGTGTATTATTAAATTGTTCATAGTACGGAAGTTTCTCCGTAAATAAAATAAAATTTCATTAACTATCGTGTCCGAAAAGAGAACAAAAAAAAAAAAATAATAATATTCTTTTTTTCTCTTCCGCTTTGATATCAAGTGTTTTAGATGAAGAAAACAAATACGACCTATTGTATACATATACACAAGGTCATCGATCTTTATTGAAATGACCGATCATAGAAAAGATTTCTTCCTTCTTCTTTTTTTTTTTTTTAATGTACAGATGTTGTCCTATATGGGTAATTTGGTATTTGTATTGTTATGCGCAACATATTGCTTAGATGATGACAATCAAAATTTTAAATGTCCATATGTAGATGACGATTATATGTGTCTCTTAGGAATTGAGAGAATGTTTCGATTATATACAAGGCTAAAATATATATATAGTAAATTAATAATCAATATAATTGAATTGTATAGGTTTTATGGCAAAAAATTGATCGACCAATTGTAAATGGGAATCAAACAAATGTACAAGAACAACTTACATTGATTGCATTCGATGGTATAGTCTATTCAAATAAAGATCATTATCGTCTTGAATCAGATTATGTTGGATCATATAATTTAATAATTGATCGTGTTAATGAAGATGATCAAGGAGAATATCAATGTCAAATTAATACAGAACCAAGAAAAACAAAAAAAATTTTTCTTACTGTTCAAGGTAAATTAAAAATTTTTTTTTTGTATTATAGTGAAAATAATAGAAGAGAATTAAGATATTTATCAATTATGTCTCGACATACTGTGACATATTACAATTTCGTCATAGATACGGATGTGATTCTATAATTGTTTATTAGAATGTTAATTAATATATGAAAATTATTTAATATACATATTGATAAGAATTAAATATTACTTTTAAAATTTATACAATCTAATTGATAGATTTTTGATTAAGAAAGTTTAGATAAATTTATTTTGTTTTTTTTTTAGTTCCACCACGTATTGTTGATTTTCGTCCAAATCCACCATTACATTCAATTCGTTCTGGTTCATCTTTAACATTATCATGTCGTGCTGAAGGTACACCAATGCCACAAATACGTTGGCGTATTCGCGATGTCGATATGAATCAAGGCAATTTATGTAAGTAGACATGTTAATGAATATATGTATGTGTGCGTGTGTTCAATCCTTGATCAATCATCTTTTGACAAATTCATACGCACGCATGCGCACATACATCGACTTTTAAGCTACTTATACTGATCATATTGCGCAAAGAAAACGACAGACAGACAGACAGATCAAGAACAATAGGACACCCTTCTATGTGAAATTTTTTCATCGAGCACGTGTCATGATGTTCATCTAAGGTCAAGTAGAATGTCTACTTGAACTTTTTTTTTATTTTTTTAATTTTAATCTTATCTTTTCATTGAGAATTGTTTTTTTTTTTGTTTGTTAGTACCGCCTGATAATAGCAATATTTGGTTTATTCCATCCATAAGTAATACATTTCCACGTACAGTTGAATGTATTGCTGATAATGCTGTTTTACCTGCTTCAAATCGTATATTTACAATAAATGTTGAATGTAAGAAAATTGATGTTTTTTTTTTGTGTTAGGAGAAAAAAAACCAAATTAAAAAATATTTTTTTTTAGATCCACCTATTATAATTATTAATAATGATTTAATTCCAACTGAACAATATCAAAATGTAACTATTGAATGTCATGCATTAAGTCGACCATTTGCTCGAATAATTTGGGAAAAAAATGGCAAAATGATTGAAAAGAATAAAATGAGTAACACTCGAGTTAATCAAACAATGACAACAAGTCGATTGACAATTCAGGTATGCATATATATATATATATATAAATTCTATTCATAGTCAAATATATATTTGAATAGATGAACAATAATGATGATTTTGGACAATACAATTGTATTGCTGAAAATATTCATGGTCGAATGGAAGCTTTTGTACTTGTACTTCGTATGTTAAAAATATTCATTTTGAATAAAAACAAAAAAAAATATTTTAATATTTTTAGAAGAATCAATGCAAGGAATACAAAATGAAAAAAATCATCGATATTCAAAACATTATTCATCAAAACTACATACAAGTATTTAAAAAAAAAAACAAAAAAAAAAAATTGATTTTTTTTTTTTTTTTTTTTTTGTAATAGTAACTCATTCAACAATATTAACAACAACAAATATTTATATTGAACGTGATATTCATATTAGTTCATCATCATATCGTTTATGGACAACAAATATATTATTATATCTTTTGTTTTTATTTCAATTTTCAACTATTCACAGATGAAAATCATCTGTTGTTTTTTTTTTGCATGTGTGTGTTTGTGTGTGTGCTACAGTGATATTTAATTATATATATATATATATATATATTTATTAAAAGAGACAAAAAAAAATATATATATATCTTTTTAACTACAATCATGTACATTCAACATCATCAGTCTCTTGGACAGCACGACGACGATTTTGAATATGAACAGTACATACAACAATAAGAACAATTAATATAATTAATGTAACAAGTGCATATGTATAAGCGACACTTATCATTGTTAAAAGATAAACATTTTTTGTACACCAATGTTCAGGATCTTCAGTTGTTTGTTCAAAACGTGGCATACGATAACGATATATTATATGATTACCATATATAAACCAAACAATAAGAAATAATGTTGTTAGAACATCCATAAATGTCTAAAGAAAAGATTTTTTTCAGTTTGACCTATCGAATGATTATGGAAAATGAAATAAACATTAGATTTTATTATAAAGTTTTCATCACCCATATTTTCTCTTTTCACCAACGCATGTTTTTTTTTTTCTCTGAAAAATTTCAATATTATACTAAAGAAATCTTGCCTTAGAGAGGAAGAACTAAAATAAATAGTAATGACATTGTCCGATATCTTACAAACGAATGTTACCATCAGTAGAAAGACCAGAAAAATACTTTCAATTAGTGAGAGTAGGTATCGAGCTTCCACACTCGGATTAAGTAACTGGCATCTCCAATCGAAACTTATATGTAATGATTGATGACTATGATAAAACAATTTGATAATACAATATGAACAAGTCTTGACGAAATAAAAAAATTAATTTTTTCAAAATCAACAAATTTTTGATTATTAGTAAAAACATTACAATTATATTTTCATTGTCACTATCTTTATATTGTTATAATAACTTTCATCTATTTATTTTTCTTCATAAAATACTATTGACATTATCGATATCAAAGATTCTTACAGAGAAGACTCTCGATTGCCAGGTGTTTTATTCAACAGGTATTCAAAAAAAAAAGAAATCAACGGAGTGCAATGTTGACATTAACTAAATTCTAACATATCCTAAAAATAGTGTCAAACTATTTGTAAAAATATTTACTTTAATTAATACATTCTTTTTCATATAACAACTACACAGTTTCAGTTTTTTTCTTCCAAATAGAAACTTGTAATAATTAGATTGCAAAGTATACATATTAAATTACAATAAGTAATCTTTTCTAATTACATCATATTCACGAAGGTCACTATCACCTTATTAGATATGCAAATATAAATATAAGATGTTCTCAAAAGGATACATTTTTTGACGAACTATCTAAGAGTTATTAATATTTATTCGTTTTGACTAATATGATAGAATTCTTATATATATATATATATGAGTGGATATTGAATAAATCATGAAAAAAGAAAAAATCTCTCATTATAAACTTAAACTTGCGAACATATTGTTATAATTGTGGATTTTTTCAAAAACATTATAAATAATAAATCTCTTTTTACTCCGAAGAAATAACATTTTAATATTTTGCCATTCTTTTTGTCTTATATGTTGATTAGGCAACTATATTTAAATTAGTATGAAGAAAATAATCTTGCTTTATATGTATATATATAATGTGTTTTGTTGTATTATTTGTAGTGTAACAAAAAGGTAGGAAGAAACAATAAATTTTCAACTAAAGAATTCAGCATAGAAATTTTTTTCCAATTAATTAGTTCTGATTTTTAAACGATTTTTAATTGATTCAAATATTTCTATATTATTAAAACTAGGCATAATCATATTTTTTATAGTCAACATTCAATTAAAACGGATGTTTTATAACACAGGAAGTGTATTGAGAGCAAACTTCAAACCTCGAGGTGACAGAGTTTGTTATTTACTTCTCATTCTAAACCCTCGATTCTTTGTTTTCATGATTGTTAAAACGGTAGCTCGATTTTTTTTTGCTTGTCAGAAATAATTTAAAATGTAAGACATTTTTTTCTAAGAAAAAATTCATTAATAAAAAGAATAAATAATTTTCATAATGGAATATTTGTTAATCTATTCATACGGAGTGAATGTTGTTGTTTTTTTGTTGCTATATACTTGTTCAAATTATTTCATTATATTTATCGATTGTAATCTTCTTAATAAAAATATTCTCATGAGATCCTATGCTTCAATTCTAACTATCTATTATTTAGTGTTCAATTCATGCCATCAAGAATATTCTATCAAAGTCAAAAAATTCTTTATTATAACTTTATCTTTCCATATTGTGGAAATCGAATAATTAATGAATTTAATCTCTTGAGTCTATAAATCTCAAAAGAGAATTAATACTAGATTAGTTCTTTTTTTTTTAACATGTCAACAAAACATAATTGTGATCCAATAAGAAAAACTTCTTTTTTTTTTTTTGGGATAAAAATTAACTAGATATTTCTTTCTTTTTATTTTTTTTGAACTAAACTATTACCGATCCACTATGAGTATCAGTTGCTTCTTCTTCAGCTGGTACTCGACGACGATTATATTGTTTCCAAAGTACTTGTAGTAATTTAAGTGAAGCTATTGCACCTCCAACAAGTACAAAAACTGGAATGTTTCGATTTAATGGACATTCTTCTAAATTTGATATACCTTAACAAAATTTTTTAAATATATTAAATTAAATTTTTAAAAAAAATGTATTGAAAATCTTACCAACACCAATCATAATCAATGGTAAAATAAGCGATACAGCAAATACAAATGACGCAGTTTCTAATCGAAACAAAAAACAAAATAATTTAAGTTTGTATTTTTTATTTATTCATACTCGTTTGAAGTAAAATTGAAGTTGTCTTACGAGTAAATTCACAAAAATGTTCAGCATCAGTATATTCTTCACATATACGAGAAAATACCGATATATTCGTTTGTCGTTCTTTAATTTCATTAACCGACCATCGAGATTGAAAAGTATTAGTAGGCTCATCACCGTACTTAAAACAAAAACAAAGAGTAAAATAATATTGACAAATATCTATTTCAAAATATTATTTTCTATAGATATAAATAACTCTATATACCTTATCACTAGCTACTGAATCCATTTCAAATATTTACTTTTATGAACAAAGTAAAAATAACTTACTTTTTCCATATAACATGGCAAATTTGATTTGTTCGTGTAAGATAATTAGGATATGAAGAAAAAAAAACAAAAGAAAACAGAATATGAGTTGTCTGTTTTTGTTCCTGTTTGTATTAGAATTTCTATCTAAAACTTTTTTTCCTATATAATCTTAATAGTAGTATTGGACTTGATAAGGTAGATGAGCGAGAAAAAAAAGAAAACAATACAAGCAATTTTTTGCCTTCATTACCATTCCCGAACAAAAAACTAATCATAATCTATCAGTTTTGAGAGGCGAACACAAGAGACGTTAGAGGAAAAAAATAAAAAAAAAAGGAAAAGTTAGAACATCGTTGATGAATTTTGATAAGAGCACGTATGAGTGAGTGAGTGAGTGAGTGAGAAAGTTTACATACTTGGCATCTGACTCGTTTAGAAAATAATTGATCGATAACAATTTTCTTGTTTCATTTCTTAGTCACACTCTAGTTTTTGTTTTTATGACTTTTAAATATATGACAAATGTGTCATTCTAACGCTTGAATATATAAATATTTGTTTTTTTTTTATGTGCCTGAATAGAAATCATAATTAACTAAAAATTCAAATTGAAATCATCTCTACCTTAACCGGACATACTCATTATGAAACATGCAATCTTTTCCTACCTTTACCATCTTTTATTCTTTAACAAGTTTTACTTATAGTATGTTTCATTTTGTCGACATAAACATGATTAATGTAAGAATTACTCGGAAAGTCAAAACACCATCATAACAATAAAGTTCAAAAATTTTTCTTTTAGTTTTTTTTTTTTTTTTAACATTAATTAATTATTCATTATCACATACCCTTTTACCAATACATGGTTGTTGTTGTTCTTTCTTGACTGAATGGCTCATTGGATTAGATGTTAGTTATATTCCCATATTACTTTGATATATATATATATGAAGTCCTTTTATATATTAATACAAAAAAAAAAGGAATAATGAAAATAGAGAAGAAAAAAAGGCTACAACAAAAACAAACAGGTTGTCAACTAAATTACAATTGCTGTTTGTTCTTTCTCTCTCGTGTGTTTTCTTCTTTCTTTCTTTTTTTTTCCCTCTTCTTCTTCCACATTATTGGTAATACTCTATTAAATCATGACCTATTAATATAATAGATTAGTAAGATACACTAGAACAAAACAATTCATCATTTAGATAATTAATTCTGTTTTTTGTTTCTCATTCTAACTAAACATATTATAAAATTTTGAAATGTACTTTTGTTTTTGATACATAATTGTTAACTAAAATATTTAATATTCATGAAATTAAAGTTAGTATATTCGACTTTTTCTTTTCCCTAATGAATTTCATGTTACAATAAAACAATAATAATATATGAAAATTTTATCTTTTGTTGTAGAATTTTAAAAAATTTTTTATATTTGCATTTTTATCGAATAGAAACGAATGGTTCATAGACAAAAAGAACAAATTATTTTTTTCATAAAACAGCTGATTTATAATATATGCAGTTTCTATGATGAATATTTAATAAAAATAAAAAAACAACATCGATTTAGGTCCAATAACCTTCCTATTTTACTTCTGTATGATATTTTCAAAAATTCATATTTATAAAGGTTGATTACGTGAAGAACTTATTTCAATAATGTTTTTTAAAAATAATTTAAGATTTCAGTTTTGTTTTCTGTATTAGAATATTCATCTAATGATAAAAAGTCTCTTTTTTTTATATCATTGCAATAAGTCAAGAATTCATTGATTTCGAAAAATTAATTTTTTTATGTTATGAAGGCTTGTTCATATTGTATTATCAAGTTGTTTCATCGTAGCCATATTCTTTCTTTAATTCAACATTCATTACATATAAATTTAGATTGCAGGTGGAAATATTTTTATGAAATCAATCATGCCAGCTCTCCATACTCTATGCATAAGGTATGAAAAGCTCGAAGAGGATAAGTGTCTTTAGACTTTTACTCGAGAGTTATAGTTATTTGAGACTATGATACGGTGCGTACAAACAAATAGAATGACGATATTTCTTCGCAAGATATTGATCCAGTAAAATAGCTACTTAGGATTGACCAAAAGTTCTAAGCCCGGTGTTTAAAGGACCTTGACAGATAAGATAAACTATTTAGAAATAAAAAAAAACAAATATTCGATGTTTTAGAGCTTTTTGAGACGCGTCGAATGGTATATAGTAAATCTTGTTTTCATCTTAGAATCAATTTACTGGTAGACGACTACACATCCACACCAACAAGATGACCAGAGATGCTACATATAGAAGGTTGTAATCCGTCAAAAACTCTACAAAATCGTGCGCAAGAAAAAATACTTTTGACTAATACCAAGAACCACAATTTTCAAAAACTTATCATGTGTGAGTGTGTAGTTGTCTGTCAATAAATTGTCTCTAAGATGAAAACAGCATTTACTATATATCATTCGACGTGCTTCGAAAAGCTGTACAACATAGTATATCTGATTTTTCATTCCTGAATAAGTTACCTTATCCGACAAGGTTCTTTAAACACTGAGCTTAGAACTTTTGGTCAACCCTAAGTATAACCTTGGAGCAGAGATGTTCACGACGGTGTTAGTAACAGATTTTCAACTGTGATAGACATCTATGCTTTTGAATAAAAGTCAAAGAGCATTCATTCCTTACCGAAGCCTACCTTCTATATTGAGTACTAACTCAAAACACAATGTATCACTCGAAATGATAAGACACTAGTTCATAATTACAAATAATAAACTATTCTAATTCGTATAGAACAAACTATTTGTATTGTTTTCTCTATTTTGTCCGCGTGGTAGATAGACACATGTAACTTTCCTGTTCGGAAACGATTACATATGACGCAGAAAAGTATTTTTAAGGAAAAAAAAAGTTTTTCGACAAAATGCCTGAGGCAAGAACTCTTGCCCTTATCATTTTTTTCAGAACATTGTTTTGTCTTATATATCATTCGATACATTTTTATGCTTTGAGATTCCAAATGTACTATTTTTGTCAAAGGCAGAAAAACAAGGATTCTAACAGAGTTATTTATACCATTAGATAGACTATATTTCAAAGCGAATTTCCCTCTATTTAAATCTTGAAAAAGTGCAATTTTCATTTTTAACCAAATGTCCGTCCAGATGCATCTCAGATAGGATCGCTTCGGTTCTATAAACAAAAACACGAACTGATCCTATATCTGATAGATATAATCGTGAGATTAAAATCCACAGCAGAATAAGTATGATAATTGTCTACTACAATATATTTTCGATTAATAGTAGGTATGAATTCATAAACTGGAACATATATATTGATTAATATTCTCGTTTACAATACTAGTGTAACTCTATTGTGTTTCATATTTTATTTCCATAGGGATTTTACTAACAACATTCATGTTATTTTCAAATATGAGTTAAATTTATTTATTTATTTCAATGTTTAAAATACAAAGAATATTTATATTTGATATATTAAAATAACAAAAAAACAAATTATCGAGCATCATAAACAATTAATCGTTTTGTTCGTTTTTTATATAATATTCGATAACCACATTCATTACCTATACACATAAAAAATATATTATTATTATTATTAATTAAAAAATAATATATCTATTTATCTTACATCGAATAACATCAGTAGATTTTAATTCATTTTCTTTATGACATTCACCACAAATATAAATCATTGCTTTTGGTTGTAGAACATTACTAGCTGTTGTTGTCGATGGTAATGGTGTCATCGATGGATCATGTATAGGAGTTTTATCCATTTATTTTATCTTAAAAAAAACAAACGTTTCTGTTTTTTTTTTATGATGATGTTTCGTATGATTTTTATTTCTTTTTTTTTTTCTTATAACACAAAAAAAAACAAAAGTTTAGTTTTATTTATGAGCTTTGCGTTGTGCAAGAATAGCAGCTTGAAGTTCATCACGTTTCTTTTTGGCTCGTTGATGACTTCCTAACTATAAATAAAAAATAAATTGTAAAATTTTTCTTAGTTTTTTTCTACATACACGTGCTTTGACATATTTTAATGCACGTTTATCACGGCCAACTTTCATTAATTCCATAGCTCGTCGTTCATATGGCATAAAACCAACAAGTTCACGAACAAGATCACGAACAAATTTAACATGTTTACTTTTTTTCTACCGAAAAAAAAAAAAAATTTTTTTTCAGAATGAAAAACAAAAAACTAAATGAAATTACTTGATGACGTCGTGTTGGTCGAACACGTTTTGAAACAAATTTTTCAAGTTTACGACCTTTATGAAGACCAGTTGCTATTTCATATTTAGGTGTAAATGGTTGCTTTGCAGCTTGAGTTGACATGATTTTAGATCTAAAATAGTTTAAATATTCAAAATTTGATTTTTACTTTTTTCTTCTTCTAATCATTCGATATATTTATCCAACTGAATATAAGTATAAAGAAATTTTCATTGATCCATAAAATATTCTATGGAATATCAATATTTCGATGATAGTTTGTTTTTTTATTTTTTAGATAAAAAATAAATTAATTTAAAATAAATAAAAACTTAAATTAATATTTTTCTAATGATAATTTTCATTTAATTAATATAAAGGTCTGAATTAATAGAATTTCTATTGGTTAAATGAAAAGTTGCCATTGGTTATATATGAATCATTATTTTGAGATGTATAAAATTTCTCTACAATCGAAAAGTATTCGTTTAGCTGATGTTCCCTCCACATAAAAAGTGTTCTACCGTGTGATGTTCTAACATCACATGGTGGAACACCAGCTTTAATGTTACCAAACAACGTTTGAATTTTAAAAGTGATTATTCATATTATGCATTCATAGAATATTAAATTTTAGAAATATACAAAAAAGGATTGGTCAGATTCGATTTTGAAAATTGTATTCAGAGAGTACCGAAGGATCTCATTCACATCATCATTATTTCAGAATATCATGAACATTGATTAATTAAATATTTATCCGCATAGGTGATAGAGCCGGTTGGGATCAACCTAACGGTCTCTACAGGGTCCGGATCTAAAAATTTTGAACGCGACGGGCACTACTCGCTGTTTGAGCCGACAAAGACACCTCTGTAAGACTAGAAAAAGATTTGCACTAATCGGTCTTCGGAGCCGAGTTATGACCTTTGGTATATCCTGGAAGTTATTACCGAGACTTCTTTGTAGTTCCAATATGAATTCAAATGATGGATTATAGTTATGGTAGTTTTCTCATTAGTGATAGAGTTCGTATTTTGAAAAATCAAATCGAAAGACAATATCTTTTTAACATATGTTAATAGTTTAAGATAAAATGACTTCCTTTCATTTAAATACAATTCTTCAATAGGATTGTCACTTGTAAAAAGACAATTATTCTAGTTGTAAAAAAAAACCAGATTCAGCAAGTAGCTCTTGTCTAAGGTTCTAAATTACGGCTCTTTGAGAATCCTCGTTTTTGGTATGACTGGAAACTTCCTAATTACCCACAGAAAGTTTTATATAACTATATAATACTAACATATTATTGTTCTAATCGATTTCTTCATGTACATACAAATTCTATACACAAAATACTGGAACATGTTGTATAACTTTAAACTTACAGTTCAAACTTTTTAATGGATGTTAGCAAACAAAAGAATAGATATCATTCAGATAATTAATATGAATAGTTAATTTTTATTTTCATTGAAATAAATTTCTTTTAATTAAATCGCAAAAATTATTTTCTGAACAGAAACATCAAAGACGATAGTATTCTCATCAAAAACATACTTTTTATTTCTTCTGTCAGAATATCTTGTATTATTTTAAAAGTTGTCAACTCCATTTATTAAATCATCATACTTCACCTACACCCTACTGAAACTTTTTAATATGACAATTCTGATGAGAGAAAAGTACTCTTCAAAAATTTCAATAACGTTTATAATTGTTAATAAATTTACTGCAAGAACTCTTTATTCATTTCTCAGATATTTCATTCCCTAGAATAGACAGCACTTGAACATGCTGAAACAATGTAAATATAGGTCAATTTTCATCTGTATGTGATATTACTATGTGAAAAAAAAAATTGAAGAATATTTTGATTTTATAAACAAAACAAAAAAAAGGAAATTTTATTTTATTTAATAATAAAAAGTATAAGACTTAAAAACTTTCTTCTAGATAATAATCATGCAATTAAATGATTTAGAAAATGAAGATGAAGAATTTCAAAATTTTCTTAAACAAGTTAGAATATCTATTTCAATTATTAAATTTTTCATTTATTATTTTTAATAGGCAACATTATCAAAAAAGATTGATGAAAATAAACAAACAACAAATAATAATGAACGTATTGCTATTAAACCTGAACCTGGTAAGAATAAAAATAAGATCAATTTAGAAAAAAAAAACAAAAACTTCTTCAAATTTAGGTTTTTGTTTAAAAACAAAACGACTTGATGATGAAATAAACAATGAAAAAATCTTTATTAATGTTTGTACATCATCTCAAATAAATGCTCCAAAAGAAATAACTGAAGAAGAACTTATTGAAATTGTTAAATCAGAAGATCCAGGAAGATATCGTGTACCAATTAGTTTAGGTGAACCAGTAGCTGATCTTGATAAACGTTAGTTTAAATTATTTCATATTAATAAAAGTCAAAATTATAAACTAACAAATTTTGTTTTCATTCAGATGGACAAGGTTGTACAATTTTTACTGTTATTATTCATCCGGATTTTTTTCGTCGTGCACATTCAAGTCAAACATTTATGAATTTTTTACTTACATTAATTTATGAAGGTTTAGAAAATAAATATCCTCAATTTAAACTTGATACTGGTAAGATTAAATATGTTTTCACTCAATTGTATTTCATTTTTTTTTTTTTGCACAACAACACATACGTACAAATAAAAGAAGCATTAATACCAAAGAGTTCTTTTTAACAAAAAAAAAAAATACGCATAAAGAAATCAAAAAAAAAATGCAGAGATTAGATACATATACATATAGTGAACACCATGAGAAAAAAAAAAGAAAAGAAAATTGAATTAAGATCTATAATAGCATAGTGCATTGCATTGGAAAGAACATTAGTTTGTTTGTTTTCTTTGCATGTCAAATGGATATAAATATCACAATAGATTTCTGTCTTTTTGCTTTGCTTTTTTAAGCCTCTGTTCTGTTTTGAGTATCACATGAATATGCACAAGAAGAAAAAAAAACCAATATCACACTAGCGCTGATTAAAACAAAAAAGAGATTCGGGAATAGTAGCAAAAAGAAAAACGTGGACGGAATTTGAAACAAACATAAAACACACAAAATTGTGCATAAGAACTAACCTACTCGTTAATATCACTTATATCATCAAGACTATTATGATCATCATGATCATCTTGATCAGATAGATGATTATTTGTACCATTTGATGTTATTGATAATTCACATTGAAATTTTTGAATTGCTATTTCATTACGACGTTTTTCAATACTAATACGTTCATTTTCACATTCATTAGCTGCTAATTTAATATCAAGATTTTTTCTTTCAATTAATAAACGTTCTTTATCATAAATAAGTCGTTGACTTGCTAATTCAAGTGTACGTTTACGTTTAATTAATGATTCAAAACGAAGTGAATTTTGTTGTTGTCCATAAGATTTAGTTGAATTTATAAATTGTTGATTTTGTGATGATTTTAAATATTTACGTTGTTTATCTAATGTTCGTTTAGATATTTGTCCATTACTTGTCATTTTCATTGTTATATGTGTTTGTTGTGGTGTAAGAAATGATGAAAGTGATGTTGGTTGAAGACTTGTTGCTGGACTTGGAGAATTATCATCATTACCAAGTAGACTAGCACTTTCATCACCTGCAGAATCTAATTGTCCACTAACGCCATTTGCAAGATCTGATGATGGAGAATCCGCTCTATCTGATGACTAAAAAAAAAAATGAACATGATAAAATTTGACAAAGCATTAAACTTTCTTTGACATGATTAAATTTGACAGTTGTTCACAGATGAAAATATTAGATTTTTTTTTTGAAAATTTTATCAAAATGAATAGAAAAATAACAATTTCTTCTATGTCAGAAGAATTGCATGATATTTGCAATTACTTTCAATATTTCCGGATAGAGATATTCAGAATGAAGAGTTGATTAGCTAGAATCGGAATTAGGATTGAAATCTTTAGCTTCATATTTCTGTAGTTCCGGAAGTATTTTTCTTTTCTCGACAAAGTCTCTTGTTATCATTTCAGACCTTATTCATGCTGGGTTTTTTTTTTGAAATAGAAAGAATGTCTTTCTTTTTCTTTTGTTTTTTTGAATTTACTTCAATTGATAAGGCAAGCAAATAAAAGTCATGTCTTAGGCCGCTAGGAATATGAATAATAATTTCACAACCATTATGTAAGAGAATATGACTAACAAGTGCTATTCGAAGTCGAAAAACAAAAAAAAAAGAAGGAAATTTCTCTTAACATAAAATCTGAATTTGTTGTTTTCTTTTGTAATAACTAACCCGTTCATTAAATGTTATTTCATGATTATTATTATTATTTCCATTGTTCATATTTGATTGTAATTGTAAAGCTTGTTGATGATGTATAGCTGCAGCAACTGCTGCATGATGAACAAAATGAGATGATGATGATATTGGAGCACGACATATAGATAAAATTCTATTATATAAATTCATTTGTTTATTTGATACAGATGTTGTTGAACCATTTGATTGAGCTGTACGATATGCAGTTACTTCACGTTTGGCTTCACTTTGTAATTTTTTCCATTTACGTCTTACATCTTCAACAGTTCGTTCAACTTGTGGATATGTTGCATTAAGTGTTTCGGTTATTTGTTTCCAAATAGCTTGTTTTTGTGCTATAACACTTTTTGATGCTTCACGTGAATGTAATAATTCTTTATACATATCATATTGATCAATAATATTAATTACTTCATGATCAGTAAAATTTGGTTTTCGACGACGTCCAACATGAAATGCATCAATTGAAGAATAATCTGTTGGTTGATCGTTCATATCTTTGATTATTATTCTATAAAATTTTATATATAAGAATACTATATGGATAAGGGATAAGAAGAATGGTTCGATCTGTAATAGAGAAAAAGAAGTCGTCTCGAATGACAAGTCATAAAAAAAAAAAAGAAAAAGTAATCGTAAGAGAGTCTAAACCAAATACGACACAACGGTGCATCGAGTAGGTAGACACGATGTGTGTTGTTGCTAGGCACCGATCTTCTCTCCTTCGTGTTCTTTCTGTCTTTACATTGTGCAAATGACTGAGAACGAGAGTATGAGCGAGAGCTATACTCTTGGAGTGTCCCACCGTCACTATGTAGTCATAGTTTTATTCGTATTATGATTTCTCTTCTTCCTTTCTTCTTTTTCTTCTCTGCGTCCTTATTATATGCGTGCGTCTCCCTAATCCAGATATATATATATATATATATATATATATATATATATATGTAAAAATGCATTTTCGTCCCTTTCTTTGTATTCTCTGTCGTCTTTTTTTTTCAAAAAAAAAAAAAAAAACTGAAAAAGTAAAAGAAGAAAATTTTTGTGATAGGTAATGTCTAGTACCATTACTTTCACTTTCCGTACAACAATAAGAAATGAGTAACAAAAAAAAAAAAAAAAAAAAGAGAAAGAGACGAAGAAGAAGACGAGAATGACGATGAGAAAAAAAAAAGTGGGCACATGATGAGAACAGGAAACGATCATAGACCTGTTCATGAAAATGCTCAAGTAAACTATGTGGAGTGAGCACTAACGATACTTCTTTCTTCTCTTTTCTACTTCACTTATTTGCAAGAAATACAAAAATCCAAAATTTTTTGATGCCTTACTGCCGTTGAATAGCAATGAACGAGAGTCTCGTTTTTTATTTATTTTAATCATTCAGACCTTCGTTCTATGCGTGGGAAATGTCGTACGTCTTTCTTTTTTTTTTTTTTTTTACAAATGGATTGCTCATTCTTTTGTTTTACATCGTTGCTATTGATTATATCTGATGTTTGATGTAGCATGTGGGTGTCCAAGCCTTTTGTTCTCTTGTTTTCAGGTGTATACTCCGATTACGTTACTCTTCTCTCAATTCCATTCATTATAAACTCTAACTATAAAAATCTTTTATATGTTGGTCATAGGGAAATTACTTACTTTTAAATTATCTTATGATTCAATCAGTGGAGTGTAACACTGTGCTTGCTTATTCAACCGTAATGACTAGTCGCACTATTATGAGTTATATGACCTGGATATATACGTGTCACCTGTTTACTCTTTTTCTTTTTTTGCGTTGAATCTTAATCGAAAGTCATCGTCATTTTCTCTCTCTCTCTCTCTCTCTCTCTCTCTCTCGCTTTCCCTTTTCTTTTTTACCTAACGCGATAGAACAGCAAAAGGCAACTGTATTTACCATCTTACTACCTTGGTTACAAACAAGTGTGATTTGGTTGATCTAACTTAGAATGATGACATTTGTAAACATGAATAAAGGAACAAAAAAAAAAGAAAAAGAAAAATTTTAAACATATAAAAAGAAAAATTCATTACTTCAGACTGGATCAAACTCAAAAATCGTAAATATATGGGACAATTAACTGAACAATATATTCGAATACGTGCTAAACCATTCATTGTTGAGGTTGATCAACAAACAAATAATATAGAACAAAAAACGCCTATGTACTTATATTTTATTTTTCATTATTCTTTTCATTCATTATTCAATATATTTCTTTTAGAAATACAAGTTCAATTATTGAAAAAGGGTGTGTGTGTGTATTATATATTACATAAAAATACTTATTTTGTTTTTTAATTTTCTATCTTAATAATATAGATCTATACCAGAATTTAAAATAATACGTGAACCACTTGAAGGTGATCCAAATTTTTTAATTATGGATATTCAATTACCTAAAGTGGTAAGTTTGATGATAATAATAAATAGAATAAAATTAATATTTTTCTATAGAAATCTGCTAAAACATTAACACTTGATATTGGTATTGATCGTATTGTATTATCAACACGTTCAAATGTTTATTATTTGGATATATGGTTACCAATTGATATTGATTCAGATGAATGTGGTGCACAATTTGATAAAGCTACTCATGTAAGAAATTCTCTTTTGTTCATTATTATTTAAATTTATATTCTAGATTTTAACAATAACAATGCCTGTTAAACATGATACAACATAAACTATGTTTTTTTTTTCTGTTAAAATCTATTGTTAACTTAAATTTTACCGCCAGATAAGAATGAGATTATATCATTATTAATAACTAATAAATAAAATATATATTCAATATTGATAATTTTTTTCTTTCTAATTTCATCTTCACAAAAAATTTAAAAAAATCAATTAAGAGTTTTGAACATTCAAAATCCAGTAAAACTATCGAGAAAGTCCATATAGCTAAACTATGAGCTTAAAAGTAATAAATCATTTCGAGTGTTTCATTGATAAGAGATTAGTAAAATAGTTACATAGTAATATAAAATGTACTGCACATGTTATACTTTGTAATATAATATAAAAGACATTAAACTACAATAGACATGTGACATATTTTGAATGCATTATTCGAACCTGGTTTTTATCATAGGAAATCAATTCTTCTATGGAAATGAATAATTACTGAGGTTTTTTTTTTCTTTCGAATTTATTTTCAATTAGTAATTATCTATTCTTGAAACTCAAGACTATAAATTCTTAAAATAAGAAATAATTTAAGAAAAAAAAAAAGTATATATAACTTCAGTATGTTCAACTATGTCAGTTATATGTAATTGTACATTTACGAAATAAAACAGTGAAAGGATATTTAGCCGAGAGGTTAAAATACTTTATTTCTGATTGTAAAAGCAAACAATTGAATATATTGGTTATAATATCATCAACATGTTTTATTACATGTATAGTTAGATGTAATATATATACAATTGTTCTTTCGAACTAAAATTAGCATATCTAGATTGATAAAAATGAATGAATTATTATTTGTGAGTATC